TTCATCCCCACCTTGGGTAAATTCAGAAAGAGGTTAGATGATCACCTGCCTGGGGTCTTATGAACCCAGCATTCATTCCTGTCTGTGGCAGGGGGTCAGGCTAGATGATCTGTTCAGGTCCCTCTTGACCCTAGCTACTATGAAACTATGAACAGAATTCTCTAACAACTAGTTAGGCACTCTTATTCATTCTTAATCTCTCTTTCTGGATCAATGAACCTTCACTTTTTTCCTGTGAAGCAGCACAGCTCCCCAGAAGGAGTGGTGAGCATCCCTATCCCACCATGCCTTCTATCCTGGGAGTTAGGGCATTTCTCAGGTGGGCTTAGCCTGCTCAGGCATGTCATGCTGCTGTCCAATCGCAGCGCAAGGGACTGGAACAGAGGGGTTAGAAGGGCCGGTTAGCTCTCCTATGGGACGATTAATGCGAGTCCAGCTCACGTCACCCGAAGAGACTGGAGGTGAGATGATAGTCACGGAGGCGGAGAGTAGTTTAAGGTAGAGGTTTATTTACTCAGTGAGCGTTGAGGAGAGAAACGAGATGCAGAGAAGTAGACTGCTAATCATGGCAGGGCCGGCAATGAAGCGGCGTTTGGCGGTTGCTAATCGCGAACGGGAGGCAGAAGCTAGGTGATCAGGCTAGCATCCCTTGCGATAATTGAAGCGGGTGATGAACAGCCTCGCTTGGGTGCGGCTGTGTGCTCCCTTATATCACTCAGGTGACACGCTCAATGGTGACCTGGCTGTTTTCACCTATCACCTCTCAGGGTTCTGTGTCCCGGCCTTATTTGGTGTTACAGACTAGCTGACCTCACCTACGTTGGTGACGCTCTGATAAAGAAAGTAGTGGTATGGCAGCGTTTGTTTTACCCTTTTGTGATGGTCGCAGGGAAGAAGGGTGGGGCTTGCCATCTTGGTGCCTCGCGCATCGATGCCACCATTATGGTGTGCGTGTGACAAGGCAGAGAAGGACATTGACCCAAGGTCTCCCATATCCTAAGCAAGTGCTGTAACTATCAAATGCTTTAAAGAAAAAAAGAAGTGACACCACCTCTTCCTCCACATACCTTTTAAAAGAAACAAGGGACCCTGCCTCATTTTTTGAAAGAAATAAGGCACTTAACAGCAGGAGAGGTTTTGGAGCTATCAATCCCGGCCTGCGATAGATGCCTCCGCAACCTAGAATTAGGCTTTTATGCTATAGGAAAGGAGGGATTTCACACAGAGTCTTCTGTGTTTTCTGAGTTAACTTAGGCAAGTCTCTACTCAGTATGCTGGCTGCTGTAGATCCCATCTGCTCTTCTCATTCTGAAGCTGGTCAACTCTCCCCAGGCACTATAAAAGGGAATGCACACATCTAATTTAGGGCACTGGAGTGAATTGTAGGAGGTGGCACCTAAAGGATGCTGTTTCAGTGCTGAGGGAACAATTCACAGCTAGAACATTTTTATTTAAGCCTACCAACCTGTTAGCCTTTGAGAACCTCAATTAAACAGCTGCAAACAAAGAGATGATCCTAAAGTTTCCCATAGGGCATAGAAGCCAAAAAGAGACAGAACATATAGAATGACAGTATTTTGGAGAAGAACTATAATGTGTACAGACCTTGACTGCAGGATTTCCCTGTAAATCCAGGAAAACATTTGCATTTGTTTGGCCCCACACATTCACCATACTTGCACCCATGTTCACAGATGGCTGCAGGGACAAAAAGAGAAAAATGAAAGATGTAGTTTTGGGGTGAGGGAGGGAGACATTTCTGCATTACAGCATAGGATGAAACCTTCTATTTTCTGCTTCAATCCATAATACCCTGAGGAAATTTTAATTGGAAAGGACCAAAATCAAGGCCTGCCTGCACTAGTAAATTTTTATGCTAGCCTATACAGGACAGACAATAGGAAGAAGATACTAAGTGGTAGTGTATAAAGAAGGTATAAGAAGGACTCCGGTGATAATTGGGCACAAAAGAAAGAATTACACTGGAGCAGCTTTCTTGAAAGAGAAGGGCTGGTGTTGGTGCTGGTAGCTTTGCAGCTGGGGGATGAGAAATACCATAAGGTGCTGCCACTGGTTGGGATAAAGCTGAATCCACAAAATTAATCTTAAAGATTCTTTTGCTTCTCTCCTTATCTATCCCCTGCCAATAAGAGGTTGCATTGTGGCTTCACAAGTTTCCTCTCCCAGAACATCTCCCCTTCTTTCTGCACAAGGAGTGTGTAAAGTCCCTAGAAAACTGAAGTCATTTTCTGCCTGAAGCAGTTGTAGTGGCTCTACTAAAACAAAGTACATATTTGCTCAAATTCCTCATCCACTCAGCTTATTTGCTATGGCTAAGCAGGTGAAAGGAAATATGTGAGGGTTGTAAAACACTGGACACTTAAGAACTGACATGTATATACTTCTTTTAAAGGGAAAGAAAAAGAACATCTTCTAAACTCATCTGGTTTATTATCACAAACTTGTTCATAAGTAGTGTGCTAATGTTATATGTAACTGGGGACTGCATTTCAGTGTTGTTTATTTTCATAATACGTGATCTGAGATTTCTCTCCCCTTTCCTCTGATCTCTTCCTTGCTGTCCTCTCTCCATGTCTCTTCCTTTTCCTGTCCACTCTGGGAGGTCCTTTCACACATATCACCACAAATCCTTTATTTCTATATAATACTGCTGAGTTATCAACTTTTCTAATCCCTTCCAGAGCAGCTTAAATTACTATAGATGTGGGGCAAAAGCAAACACTATTTTGATTGATTTCCAAGAAAACTGGTAATGGAGTCTAAATCAATGAGATTATGCAGAAAATAAATTGGAACAGAAAATTTTCCTGAAGTGTATGAATGCTTTTTAAGTACAGAGCCTGACAGAGCTACACCAATATTACAGCGGCTATCTGACAGAATTGTCAAGAAGTATTACATCTTTTTATGTAAAGTGAATTTAAATATGGAGTGGTTTTTACAAATAGGTTCCAGACAGAACAAACATACTGGAGAAACTAACAGTATGGCAAGAGAACTTCAATACATTTCTGCCTCCTGGTACTCTGTGATACAGAGTAATCTAGGTCTTCATTCTAAATTCCTAACCAAATGCTTTATTTTGCTTCTGTATAATGCATTTTTATGTCTAATCCAAGGCAAATGGTTAAATATTGCTATTAAAAAATCTGAAATGAGACAATCAGGAGGATATAAAATTTCTTTTCTCTACATTAGTGTGATATATGCAGTAGATGTGACTGATACAAGGAAAGACATGAAATAGCTTTAATTCCTGACAGGAAAATGTTTCTTTTTTAGAGAAAAGAGGTTCACTAGTACAGGCTGCATGGGCCTTCTCACACTGATAAGTGTAAATAAATTTATGAGTTCAAGCCTTCTAATTTACAATCTATTTTGTTATTAGTCAGCAGGTATCTGCTCTTTTTCCTTTCCCCCCATCAGGTATTTAGGGCTTGGCTTTTACTAGCTTCTTTGAATAACCACAGCAAAGTCAATGGCTAGGGACAGACATTCAAAAAGCCTGAGCCTGAATTGATTCAATCTTTGCAGGTTAGTCTAACCTGGCTAGGCTGAACTGGTTTGTAACTGCACAGATATCCAGGCACATGCCTTCAGTAGCTCAGGCTAGAAGCCAGGGAGTGCTAAAGCAGCCCTCTTATCCCTTCCAAAGCACTGAGCTGGGTGGGGGGAGGATATAGCCAGACCCCAGCAGGACACTTTGATTAGCCTAGCAGGGAATTGATAAGTGAATTTATCACCCCCTCAGTGTTTATCATCCCATTAAGAAAATGATAGAGGGACATTACCGGCAAGGCAGAGAGGAGGAGGGAATTCCTGCTTAGCAGGTGGTGGTTAGGGGAAGGGAGGGAGCAGCCTGCAGTCTGTGCTGGAGCTGTAGACAGGGAGCAGAGGGGAGGGGCCAGCCCTGCTGTGGAGCAGAGAGACCCACCTAGCCCAGAGAGCATGCTGGGATGCTGGGGGTGTCTGGTTTACCCCAGCAAGGGGCCTGGGACAGACATTGCATAAACCAGTTTGACCCAAATCAGTTAAGTCTGATACCACATTCAATCAGATTTCTCTCAAACTGGTTTCAACCATTTTCAAATAGGTTTATGTGCACTGAACATCTGTTCTGTTACAGGTTTAAACCAGTTTCTGATCACTTAAACTGGTTTATGTGCAATGTCTGTCCCTAGCCAATGTGATTACCAAGGGGAGTGACGCTCAGCAAGAACAAGGATTGCAGAATAAGACCCTCAATCAAGTGCTTTGATAGGTCACAATGTTGCAACCAATAACAATGTATTAACTTTTACCACAGTCCATACATAATTGTATACTGCAGAACTGAAAAGCAGGTATCTTATATTTTTATGTCCATGATGAATTGTGTTAGAAGAATATATCAGCTTTTGCTATTCAAAATCTGCATCACTCCAAATGACTTTTTTGCTCCAGCAATAAAGAATAAAGCCAAAATTTTTAAAACTTGATAGCTAAAGTACCTTTATTTTTCCTTAGACACCTAGATAAATAGCCTGATTTTCCTTTGTTCATGAAAGTGCTCACAAGTATTTATTTAGGAACCTAAATAATATTTAGATGCCTAATTTGGTATATCTCTGTGTAAGGGTAGATCTGGGGGGCAGAAGAAGAAGGGGAGAGTACAGTGGTACAGGTGCACCCACCCTCTTTGATTGCTGGTCCACGCAAAGTTTAAAACAGACTGCCTGACAGTGGCAACAGCATTTCTATTCAGACAGGATTTGACTTAATGACTCATTGTAATCTACCTGATTCCTTCTAAACTCTTCATTTCACAGGTGTTAACGACCCTCTTTCCTTTTTAATGGTATTAATCTTCTGCTAGTTAAGCCATTCTTTCTTCTGCAGGTCTGCTGTCTATTTGCTGCTCCTGGTAATGTAGCTCCTATTTCACAGCCCTGCAGACTATTTTTAACTCTAGTTAAAACTTTAAGTCAGGTGTGGAAATAACTTTCAGTGATGTGTTGGATGCACTTTCAAGATGCTCTAGAAGGCTTGACTTTGTTTTATGAACCTGAAAGAGAAGTGCATTTAATTCTAATGACTCCATGACTAATGAAACATTTTTTATTATATTTGCCTAATCGTTTTTTTTAATACAAATGTATAATATAACACAAGAATGTACAGTCCAATAAAGTTGTATTGGTTTTGGCTTTGATCTATAAATAATATAGCTCTAGGTCCTTAGCATATTCCAAAAGCTTCTAGTTCCTTTTTACCTGGAGAAAAATACGTACTGTTATGTGATGATGTACCACACCACACACCCTTTTTTCAATATGCTAGATCTACCCATGCCCCTGTTTGACACTTTTGGCTGAAAGCAGAACTGATGCTCAAGTGAATATGATTAGTCTAGAAATGTAGCTTTTACTTGGGCAATTTTTGATTGAACCTGTTTTTGAGAACTGTTGTAAAGCAATTCTTTAGGAACAGAAGATTGGAAGGGACACTTGGGTCACTCAATCCAAATCACCTGAAATCATGAATGACTTGAATCTAGGTTTGCATAGTAGCTGACTTGCATCAGAAGTCAGCCAAATGAAGACAGCATTTAAGAGATTGTGAAAGCTAGAGTCTAGTAAGAGATAATCATAGTGCTTCAAAAAAGGTCTATTTGCTCTTCTAAATTACTTCTGTATATTATCATTTTTACTTCTGTGTACTCTTCAGCAACAGAATTAAGATTACACAAACAATGCAACATCATTATTAATGAGAAATCCCTCTGACCTACAGGTAGTGCATTTTACTGGCACTACTATCCTGTGGTGCAAGGAGCAAAGACTAAAATGCATCACTGCATTTTAGACAGCACCAAGCTGATTTTATTGAGTTATAATTTGAACCTCTATCCAGGTTCAGAGCTGCAATGCTAATCTCACTGGGGCAACAGATATAGCATCTGAAAAATAGATTCCTAAAGTTAATATTTTATAAGTCCATTGTACTTTGCCTAAATACAGCTGAGGAGAGATTTCATATTATATTCTTCCTAGCATTGGTATGCATTTAACAGCTTGGAAATACTATAAAAGCCACTGAATCTTCATTAAGATATCTCTGTCTCTGGACCACAAAACTGGCTGGAAACAAAAGTTACATTCAGAAGGAATCCCTTTCATTGTATCTGATTTTTAGGAAGTTGAAAACTCCTAGTTCTCATGGAATGTAGGTTTCTGAAGATAAGGAATGCTACTCAATAATATACATAGCTGTAAACATAGCTTAGGTGGCTGCATGCTGCTTTTTTGGATCTTGCTATTAATACCGAATAGATGCCATGGGACAGGCATGATCCATTTCTATTCTCTTGGCCTGTGTTATGCAGGAGGTCAGGCCAGAAGATCCCTCCAGGACTTTAAAAGTCTAGGAATCTAGTTTATTGGCTGGCTCTGTTTATCTAGCTCTGCATTTTTCAAGAGATGGTCTCTAATACTTATTTTCTTCCTACTTTTGTAGTTCATCTCTTTTTTAAACCCTACACTTCATTTATAGTAGGATGTTACTCCTGTCACCAGGCAGTTTATTTTTCCTGGAGCAAACTTGTCTCCACAGGAAAACAACATGAACAATCAAACAGATAAATCAAAACCTGTGGTCCTGCCTCAGACTGTAATGGCAACCCTGATTTGTGCTTTGCCTTCAGCACCACAGCCTTTCCTTACTCCCCTCCCTGGGGTTTTTAACTTCCTCTAGGGCTAGCCAGTCTCCTCTGTCAACTGGCCCAGTGCTTCTAGAAAGGCAGACCACTACCCTCTAACCCCCTGCAGCTGGGCTTTAGCTCCTAAGCCATGCACCTTCTTATATCAATCTTTCTGTAACTTCTGCCAGGCCCAAAGGAAACCATATTATTTAAAAAATAAGTTCACAGTCATAAAGACGAGGCAGTAATCATATATTATTACCTTCACAGTGCCCTCTGTTGTTCTTTCGCCAGCCGTAGCAACATTCTGTCTTAGAACCGTAGCGGCAAACTCCAGGCTGGTTCACAGTCATCAGCTGCTTGTGAGCCCTTGAGCTGTCCAAGAACCATAGTGTTAACAGCAGCAAGCAAAGAACATGTTTTAATCTATTGCCTTTGTATGGTTTAATTACTTTGCCTTCACCCTCATCCATTTTAATTTGCTGGTATACTTTACTAAAGCACTCAGTGGGATCTGTAGAAGGGATGGTTTGGGGGACTTGAAACTGTAATGAATTTACAGAACTGTGTAAATGTTTTGTAATGAAAAACAATAATTGTTTTTTCTATTGACATGACAGAGTAGAGAAACAGGGCCAAATTTGCCATCTGGCATGTGTCAGTGTAGTGTCACAGAAGTCAGTGAGGCTATTTCATGTTGCACTAGATGTTGAAATAGTCAACCATAACTAATTCCATAATTCTAGCTTCCCATTTTAATGTTTATGGAAATCTGGTACTGAATCAGCTTGAAGGTGGTTACCATGTATTGGTGGATCTTAGCATCCTTTGACTATCCCCCTCAATCCCCACCATGCTTGGTCTGTATATACCACAACTCCCTGGCCCATGCATATTAATATGTTATTTTTGTTGGTTGTTTTTCCCTATTTGGACACCTATACCTGAAAATCTTTCCATGACCTGAAATTCCACACCTTTGTCCCTTTCTGTAAGACCCTCCTTACAATTCACTTCCTTCAAAACGTCTATGAGTGTTAAACACCACATCAAAGAAAGTGTTGGAATTCATTAGCAGGAATTTCTAGGCAAATCTGTATTTACAGAGCAATTTGTGGGATATGCATTAATTATATCATTTTATCTCCTTATAATAGTGCCGTTAATGCATGTCACTCTGTACTGAAATACAAGTCTATAAATACAGTGAAACCTTCCCAAGACAGAATGTATCATTTCCTGCTAAAGCTGGAAAATTTCTACTTGGAACATGATATAGAGGAACCACGTATTTAGTCTGTGAAAGCTGGACACTGGTCTAACATGGAAACAGGAAAGAAATTTGGGGCCCATCTGTAGTATCACCCTGTATATCATAGAAAGTAATTACCTATTTTGTGCGCGTACGTGCAGTGTGAGCCCCAAGCAGAGGAGAAGAGTAGGGCAGACAGCCCTGAGCAGAGGAGCTGGGAAAGTCCATCTAAGCCAGAACATTTTCTATCTGGCTAAGCCAAGACTTTTTCCTGGCCCTACCAGATTCTGTCTTAGACAGGTTTCACTGTATTACAATTGTAACACTGTTCTAATAAAAAACTGCTACACACATTTCTAAAGTACATATTCCCCCCAGGCACTATTTACATAAGTTAGTTAAAGTAAAAAATGATACTTTCAGAAACAGGGAATGATATTTCCCTCAGCAAAACTACTTTCTGAAATACGACTACTGCTAGAGGGAGGCCAGCCAGGGGACCTCAACAGAAAGAATCCAATGTTTTATAGTTAGGAGATTGTTTGGAAAATGAAATACCTCTTTCTTATCACCCTGAAAGTGGTAAGATTTGGGCACTTGATTGGGATCTATTAAGAGCTCTTGTCCAAGAATGGGTGACCATCAATCCTGGGGACTGAAAGCATAGCATTCTGATTTTACGAGACCACATACAACAATTCTTCAGACACATGAAAGCATGCATTAAGGCAGCAAGCATTTCCAAACAAAATTTGTATGACAGCTTCTACTGCTTTCTACATCAGACGTCAATGTGTCACCCAATGACCATCCCTCTTAGTATTGAGTTGGAGTTATACAAAAAAAAAATCAAGTATTTTTAAAGCTTTTATTTGGTTCAGTCCTTTAGCACGTTTGAACAAAGTTGATTGGTTTCATTTACAATTGTGGGAGCTAAAAATTAAAAGCTAAGTATGTTCCACCTTACATCCCATCTAACCTCATTGAGTTTGTTGGGGTAGCCCTGCTCATGTCAAAAAGACCTTGCACAGCAAGGTTCGGCTTATAAGAAATATGACCCTTCTGTTATCTTCAAAAAAAATGCTGGGCCCTTTCTAAAGGTGACAAGCTAACTTGACACAAGTAATACCTTTTTATGAAGTGACAGCAAATAAATAAAAACTACTAAATAACTTTACAAACCCTCACAGATGCCCACTATCAACAGACCAGACAGACTGTGCCTCATAAAACAGGGTAATATTCTGACATTAGCCAATAAAATTAATCCAGCTGATTTTTTTCAACATATCATCCTGAACAAAATCTTTTTATTTGCTCCAAGTTCTTCAGTAAGATAGCTGAAGCAACAGGCTTTGGGTATTTAGAACATATAGCTGGCAGGGGTAGAATTGAGTTCCAAGGTCTGTGGGCGGGAGCATATTCCAAGTCAGATTTCTCCATTACACATAGAAGAGAAGCTCTGCCTTTTTGGCTATTTATGGATTTATCGTTCTGTATTGTGGACAGTGGAATGGAGACGGTTGGATAAAGAGCAAGAAGATCCTTCAAAAAATGCCCCAACACCTTACTAACCCTCCAGAGATCCTGAAAGAAAAGTAATGCAGCCTGGAGTTACATGAATAACAGGGGAGGAATGGAAAACTATTAGAGCCTGAAATAAGATGGCCTGTTGTCCCATGCATTACACATGAGAGAGAGAGGGAGAGAGAGAGATGACCTATCTTGAAGAATTTAGTCTCAGTGGACAAGATGTGGAACCAAAATGAAGGCATAAATAGAGGGAGTGACTTGCTCAAGATCAAACTGCAGCTCAGAAAAATCAAGAAAGAATCAGGAAAAGACAGGCAGAATCAGGAAAAGACAGGCACCCCTAATGCAGTGCCCTGCCTACCATCACCCAGTGGTGGAACCCTCCTTACTACAAGGGGTCCAAGGAGCAGCTGCAGTGAGGGCAGCCTTTGGCCATACAGCCCAGTGAGAGCCATACTACTAAGGAGTACATTGAGAGGCACAGGATCTCCATTTCAATGCCCTCACTTTCTTGCAGACCACTGTGGACCACTCCAGCCCTAAGCACCTATCAAATACATTCGTGTAGATAGGTTCATATCAGACTTCCATCTTCTAAAACTCGTAGGCAATGGGAATGCTTTGAATTGGATCCAATCTTGTTGGCTCATGCTTTCACAGCATGCTAGTGTTATTTAGCATAGTAGCTAGAACCAGCCGGGTAACCAGAACCAAGAACGAGGCAGAGATTGGGAATTGAAGGTCAACAGCTAGGGTGCAGAAGCAAGAAGCAAATCCAAGATAGCTGACTGTGGTCAGGTGCAGAAGGTCTGTGGATAAAATGTCAAGCTGATGTCTAGAGCCAGAGACTAGAAACCAAAGGATAAGGCCATGAGTCAGTCACAGAACGATAGCCATGGACTATAAGCTGCTTAGTTGCTTAGTAGCTGCTTATAAATGGGAAGTTCAGTCTATTGTACTACACAGGCAAGTGGCAAAGCAGTCCCTTAAATGAGAAGCTGGATCCAATCAAGTGCTGAACAAAGGATAGCTGTTGTAGCTCTAGGTGGCTATAAGGCAAGATTTTAGGCTCACCCAGGGTTAAAACCTCCTGTCCATTACTTGTGGGTGAAGGGGCACAGTTCCAGGCTACAATAGTTGTAGCTTTCCACAAAACTAAAAGCTCTCCCTGTTAACAGGAGGGAAAGGTTATAGGTCCAGCACTACAACTAGACAGTTGGGTGAAAAAGGGAATTAAAAACAGGAAAATGTATGCAGATCATAGCTGGCATGGGGAGCAGCAGTTCAATATGTTTCCATCTCTGCTACTTTTTTTCTTCCCCCAAGCTGGTTTCCCAACTCAGGCCTTCTAGCTCGCTCTAGTGAAGGGCAGGAAGAGAGAATCCTGCATGCCTAATGCAACCTTATGGCAGTCTCTTCTGTATTTCCTTCCTCTTACAGGTCTTCCTCCTGTGAGTAGACAATTGGGGCCCGTATGATATCAGCTGCCTCTAAAAAGGCACTGTCTGGTAATTATTAGGAAATTAATCAGTGAATACAGAAGAAACTAAAAGACTTGTGCTGTGTTCAGCCTATTTTATTAATGATACAGAGTGTGAAGTGTAAAGTCATACATGTACAGCAGTGATTCTCAATTGTGCTCCTGTGAGATCTTTTTTAAGGGTGATGTGCCATTACTGGGAGAGGCTAAGGGAGATGGACTTTCGGAAACTTTCCTGCAAAGTGCTTGAGACTGTCTGGGGCAGACAGGCTGGGTAGGAGTCAAGTCGGGTGGGGGGGGGGGGGGGGGCACAGTGCTGTGG